CATCCACAGCTTCAAATTTGGCAAGTTCATGTTGGGCTCGCATTCTCTAACCTGTTTTCACTCATGAAAAGAGTGTTAATCATATAATGAGTTTCAAAGCAAAATTAACCATGAAGATAATCTATCAATGCATGAGAGCTTTACCTTGATAGTAAAGGTTAATATGAATCTCTCAGAAAGGGTAGCCAAGTTGGAGCTCTGAACATTGAATCGTGTGAGGGACTCAATAGCCTTGTAAAGTGATGAGGCCACCCCTTGTCCTCTATTGCACTCCACTCTCACATAAAATCCTCTTTCCTCCACTTGAATCATGTCCATCTAAATCGCCACGGTTTCAATATCACCGGTTAATATTTCAGTAGTATTTTTTTTTTACATTTGATAGTGTTCTAAGAACTTCTTCAACCGTGAGATTATTGCTAAAAAGAAGTAGAATGAAGCTTAATTTTCCGTTTAATTAAAAGGGTCAGACATTTATATTTTAACATAACTATTATACCTTATATTAAACTTGATACAAAGTTTAACTATAGCTAAATATGTCGGCTCAACAAAGCTATTCAAAAATATAGTACATCTTTCCAATTGTATTTCCTCCCCTCAACACAAATTCCAGAAATCAACAATCAACAAAAAAAAAATAATAATAAAAAAAAAAACAACAACAACAACAACAAAAAATTAGTTGCACGCGAATTTATGTTGTTGAGAGGAAATAAATGGAGGGCAAATTGGTTGCACACAAAAAATAACAAAGTCACAATTGGAGCAGTATTGCTAAAATATAACATTTTGTAACTATTCATTATTAAAATATAGAAATAGCTAGCTTTAGTTATTGATCTAGTGGAAATGCTCAAAGAAAGTTTCAAGCATATTTGGCATTGTTTGAAATGAATAGAGTATAAAAAATGAATAACCTGCATTATGTGCTTGCAAATTGTATGGTTGGGGCTTATAAATTGGATATTCTTTCTGTTTTCAACTATGCCTTGTCGATGTCTGTCTCCCTCTGTCAAGGAGGATTCGAGCCCTGCAATCTCGGCTCTTAGCTTCCTCGCCTGCATTTGCAGCTCCTGCAAGTACTCTACCGCATCTCCAACAATGGAAGCCTTATCCATCTGCATTTATATATATACAAGCATTGCAAATCATTTTGGTATGGTTGTTTAAGATAGGTTTGAAAGCTTAATAAGTTTATAAATGTGTTCGAATTTGATTTGTCTAGTCTTTTAAACTGATCTCAAAACAAGTTGCAATTGAGGTGAATCACGAATCAAGGTTGAATAACTTAATTTGTTTTTTATGAAGTTCAGTTCTAAAGATTATCGTACTTTATTCAAGTTTAATATGTACAAGTCAATCTCAAATAAATTTTTTAAAAATTAAACGCGAATAAACACACCTTAGTTATGTTAGGAACCAAGGCACGCAATGCGTAGAGCTTCTCCTTCATCCGACCTCTCCTCTTTCTCTCTGAAACCAAAGTTCTCGACCTATCCCCACCCTTTCTCTTCGTCAGCCTAGTAGTAGTAGTCGTGGTTGCAGAAGAATACTCCTCTCCAATATCATTATCATTCTCTTCCTCCCCAACGTCTACGGCTGGCAAAGCATTGAGACCAGAACTCAGATTATTGCAACCAAAGAGAGGATCTTGATCTTGATCACCTGGGGTTGGGCCAAATTGGGTATGATCCAAACAGCCACTAATGTGCTCACAATCATAATTGTGACAGAACTCGACAATGGGATCATTGGTTTCACCTCTAATAAGATCAATGAATTGCTCAAAATTTGATTCGTTGATGAACAAGTCTTGTGATAATAAGTTGAAGTCATCACCAACATGCCCAGGTTGGTTTCCAGATGTTTCCATCCTCTCCATTGTTTCAAATGATAGGTTGATCATGAGACTTCTAGTCCTTGTAGCGTATATGTATAGGTCACCATGGTACCACATTCCCAATTCTCAATGTTTTTACTTCAAAAAATAAAAATAAATTTTAGTGAGTGTATGAATTTTAAAATATATGATTCAAATTCATTTGAATCTTTGCGTAGTTATATATATGTGTGATTTATAAATTCTTATCAAATGTTGTTCTAATATGAATTCCTTGGATTGAACTTATCATTGAAAATTGACTTGTTGGAAGAAGGTGTCCAAATGACTTATAGATATGTACATGACCAAGGTTTATGTTATTTGATGTGAGATCATCATAACGTCTTCTTACCATCATAAGAAGTTTTAAATAAATAAACACTAAAAAAGTATCAAACTTTTTTTTACAGTGCCCATAACTTTACAACCACTAGGCCATAAATCCTAATTCAGTAACATTTTACACTTATACCTTTTAGAACAATGTTAGAGATTCTAAAAAAATTATCAAATTACATATATATATATATATATATGTAGTATTTTTTGCTTTCTTATATAACATATAAGAAAAAATACAAAGAATGCAATGAGGAATAGAAGGTTCAGTGCATCAATGATTGTTCTATGAATGCAAGAAGAACTCAAATCAAGTTCACCATCACAAATCCAAGAAAGACCTCCTGCATATCCATGAGATGAGAATATGTCAATAAAAATCATGGTTACTTCCTTGCAAAATATGAATGAACACAGAAACAAACAAGACTACAAAAGCTAAACCACATCGACTACAAAAGCTAAACCACATCAACTACAAAAGCAGAACTAAAAACTACAGACAAAGAATTGCAACTTCTAGATAATTTTAAAAAAAATAATAATAAACAAAGAAAGTAGCAAACGGATAACATCCTTAATGTCACTACATACGTATTTTGGTCATGGTATATTAAGTTTATGTTTGGATCATCGATTCGTGAACATATTTGTTTCATTTTTCTTTCTCTAAATAAATTCATAACCCAAACATAGCATAAGGTAGTACCAAAATCTTAAAACGAAGGAACTACAAGAAGAATTTGAGAACAAGAAGATCACAAGAGAGAGAGAGAGAGTACCAAGAGATCTCCCAAAGGAAGCCATTGTTGGAGATGTGTTAGCGTTTGCAACTAGTGAAGGAGAACATGTGAGGGAGAGCTCAAATATAATGAGAGGGTGAAACCATATATTTATAGAATCTATTGTATATGTCTTCATTTGCATTTGCTCACTACACAACAAGATTGATTATGTCATACATTTGTCTCAGTATGTATGTCCCTACACTTAATTAATGCATCTTGTTATAAAATATTACTACTGTTTACTTATACATTTATGCATCTTGTTATTATATAGTACTACTGTTTACTTGTACAACTACCTTACATAAATCAAAAAAACAACTATTCGCTCCGTCCTAAAATATTAATCCCTTATTCCATTTTTCATGATCCCAAAATATTAGTCCCTCTTCAAAAGTCTGATTAAAATAGGTGATGATGTGGTAGTGGGCCTTGACTGAAGTGTTTTCGAGTGGAGAGAGAGGAGATATAACAATTTAAAAATTTAAGTTATTCTTTAAATTTTATATTAATATTATTTAATTATAAATAATTTCAAAAAAGAATTTTAACTTTATATTATTATTTAATATTATTTTTGGAGTATTATAATATTTTTTCTTATATCAAAAAACACTGAAATGTAACATTTTCAATAAAAAAGGATGTGGGCCTCCAATTCACTTGCTGACCACGCCTGTGCATCATCATCACGTCCTAAGCCCCTTTTTCTCTCCCTCTCTCTCAGCACTTCTCTCTTTAATTATTTTTTAAGTATTTAGTAGATCACAATAAACGAAAAGTAAAATATTAAAATTAATTTTAAGGTAACTTATATTATATTTTGAATTATTATAATATATTGTACGTATATTTTAAATTATCATAATTATTTTATGTAATTTGTGTTTTATAGATTATATTAATATTTTGATTACATGAATTATTTTCTTACCTTTATTTACTTAAATTGAAACTCATGGATATATTTGTTTAAATTTTAATAATTATTTGACAATGATTTCATAAGTAATTATTTTCTGTAAGTACCACCACGGGAGTCTCATGTCTTGGGGACTTAAATAAACCATTGGCTTTTGATTGGTCATCTTGTGGCCCTCTGTTTATCATGAATCTATTGACTTCTATTCTATGCAGAGCTAAATGTTACACTATTGTGAGAGCCACATCTAGAATCCGTACAAGTCACCTCTTGAATCCGTACCTCTGTATTATCATGAATCCATTAACCTTTGTTTTGTTCTGCACCATGGTTATGATTATATATTTTCATATAATATCATATGATTTATGACGGAGCTAAGTGTTACACTATTGTGAAAACCACCTCTGGAATCCGTACGAGCCATCTCTTAAATCTGTACCTCTATATTATCATGAATCCATTGACCTTTGTTCTATTATGCACCGTAGTTATGGTTATATATTTTCGTATAATATCATATGATTTCTTAAACGGATTTCTGTTATAATATGTGCAACTTATTTACTCTAATAGCAAAGCATTCTATTGTATCTGTTGTAAGCCTAAAGCTTATCCATGGTAATTTTCTAACACTTATGCTCTTAGTATAATATTTCTCACTCTGACATGTGCTTATAGCTGTTTATCAATTTTTAGAAAACGATACAATTCAAAAATAACTTTTAGAAAGTCTTAAAAGCGAAGATGTGGAATAGACACCCAACGCACTTTTATAGCATTTATAATTTTATTTTTCATATGTAAATATCGGCTTTTTGATCAATAAGTTTTTGTTACAAAAGTAAAAGCTCCAAGGATTATTTTAGTACTCTCACTTAAATATTTTTCCACCTCCCCTCCCCCGACATTTCAACTCTTTTATTTTTTTTTTTGTGGTTAATAGTAACACATAGCACAGCTTCAAACCAAACACTGCTCATTTTATTTTTTTTTAAATATAAAAAATATATTTTAAATAAAAAATTTATAAAAACATTATTTAAAATGAAATGTCAATGACATTTTCAAAATTATAAGAACAATAATGGTTATTTTGATTGAAAATAAAGAGATTATGATAAGTCATATTATTATTTATGAAAATTTTAATATAATGGTGATGCCTATCATTATTGACATGCAAACATAATTAATTTCAATGAAGATATGAAATTTATTGGATTGTTAGTTATATTTGACATGTGCAGTTTATCCTCCATGTGTTTCTTTCCATTCATAACTAAAATGACCACTATATAAATTATAATCAAGTAACACATCTTCAATTATAAAAAAATAAAAATTAAAAATTACAATAAGTCATAACTGATATCATAATAAGTCATAACTAACTATTACTTGATATATAGTCATAACCAAAATAACAACTACAAGAAGTTATAACTAAATTATATCTAACACTATAATGAACTATAACTAAAGACCACGAAAATCATAATTGCGACATATGATAGACACTTTTTTACGGAATATTTTATAGAATTTCTCTACTAAAATATATCATTTCTATCTTAACTTATCTTCTTTTTAAATTTTTCAATCCACCTATAAAATAGTAACTCCACAATATTTGTATAAAATTTAATCTCAAATCCTTTAATTTAAAATTCACATTTATCCAAATGAACGCTTAACATTTAAGTTTAATAATATCTCATTGTTATTTATTATAACGAAAAAAAAAATGTTGTCATTAATTTGTACCCCCTCTTTACTGAATTCCTGACTACGTCACTATATGTAAATATCGGTTTTTTGGTCAATAAATTTTTGTTATAAAAGTAAAAACTCAAATGATTATTTTAGTACCCTCTCTTAAATATTTTTCCGCTCACATTTAGTAATTTGTTTAAGAATTGGCCAAAGATAATTTCAATTACAAGCCATCACGATGCTTAACCTTTGGATACGGAGAGCGGGTTGTGACAAGTGGTATCAGAACTCAAGTTTTAAAATTATTTTTATCAAAGCATTGGAGCATAAGATATATGCACAAATAGGATGGGGGAAACCTTAAGCTAGATTACAGGTTGTATTTAAATTAACTATTTGTGTAGCAACAATCATGGTATATATAATTATGGTATTTCACTAAATTTTGTAATTAAGATGAGTTATTTATTACTTTATATATAATTGTATATATCTTTCATGTACATGCTGAATAATTTGAAAAAAAAAACAATTAAAAAAAAAAAACAAATTCCGTATTATATGTTCAGTAGCATTTGAAAAAAAAAATCATTTGACTTTTTAGAAGTGGGTTCAAATCTATAATCTTTCAAAATTTATTTACTGATTTTGAAACTATTTCTCATCAATGGAATGTTCACGGATAAAAAAAATGGAAGTTCATCTCAAATTTCTTCAACTCTTACATATGATTCTGTCATTTCATTTCCAGTTACTTGTTTAATTGTGTTCTCATTTTATTTTTTTTATTTTTTTATTTATTTTCAGAAACAAAACCAATAAAAAAAATTTAAAGTCATCCATTGTTTCCTATTTTGGCACAAAAAAGTTTTGACAAATAAGCAGTGAGTTATTTTTGGTAAAAAAAATTTGAGGTAATATTTTATATCAGATTAATCATCAAATATATATTTATCAGAGTACGCAGCGGATAACTTACACATATGAAAAATTTTGAGGACGAAATTTTTAAAAAAAAAGAAGATTGTAACAACTCGAAAATTTAAATTGTCCCTTAAATTTTATATTAACATTATTTAATTATAAATGATTTCAAAAAAATAATTTAATTTTATATTATTATTCAATATTATTTTCTGAATATTATGATAATTTTATTATATTTTTCTCTATATTTTTCTTAAATCAAAATACATTATATATATATATATATATATATATAGATAGATATGTAGGGATGTTCACCGTGTGCATCATCGTCACGTCCCAAACTCTCTTTTTCTCTCTCTTTCAGCCCTTCTCTCTTTAATTATTTTATAAGTATTTAATGGGTGGTAGTAAAATG